GTGTGTGTGTGTGTGTGTGTGTGTGTGTCTCCATGAATTCGTGCAGTTTTCACTCCTGTGACTTGTCTGCCGACACACTCACTCCTGTTTTCATGGCCAGGGCCTGCTAGCTCAACCAACAGGTTTTTATCAAGTATTTGCCTGTCTGCACACCCCCACCTCACACCCCCACAGACACACACAGAGCCACATACATGGGAGGGCGCACATTCACACCCAACTGCTTCACAGGCCCACACAGAGGTCTCAGGAGGCATTTGTCTGCCTCCTCCCCCACCCCCCAGCTGGCAAGACATCTGTCCCTTCGAGCCCAGGGAGGGGTTGTGGCTGGGGGGGGGGGGGGAACAACAAAAAAACAACAACCCGAGATTGGCTCAGCTCCGCCTTTCAACCTGTAGCTGTGGCGCCCCCTAGTGGAGTCGCTATGCGGTGCCCTGTCTTCTCAGCTCCTTCAGCACCGCGTCTGCCTGCCTACAGCCACTCTCCGCCCCTTGGTGACCATGGACTAAGGCTCTGAAAGGGCGCGGAGGCTCCCAATTAGATGTTTTCTTTCATAAGAATTGCCCTGGTCATGGTGTCTCTTCCCAGCAACACAGAACAGCGATTAAGACATGTGATAACTTGTCGTCCATCACTTCTGCTTACAGCCTCTGCCCTTTTCTGCTCAAAGCTCTCTGGGGTAAGAACGTTCTTTAAGGAGGGATTAGAGTAACGGAACGGGGTCACCATATATGAGGAGAGCAAGGCTATCAAGCTGTGTACCGCACAGCTCCGCGAACCAGTGGAGTATCGGCGGGAGATTGGCCATGGTTGTTTTGTTGCAGATGGCAGGGAAACGTGTAGGAGATGGAGCTAATGTTTCTATTTTGTATCGAGTATCCTTCGGGTTAGTCAGGCTAGGAGGCAAACGCTGAAGATGGAACCACGCCTCCTTCTCTTGGTAAGAGGATTTTCCTCTGCTTTGGGCAGCCGCTCCCCACACTGCCCACCCCTCTGTTGTAAATATGTGATTCTGTAGGGCTGCTGACATTTTGACAGCCACCCTCTTCTGCCACGGGGATAGCGAAGTCGCCTCTGGCTGGCCAGTCCCCAGGGCTGCAGGCCCCTTCTCTGAGAGTCTTTAGGTTTGTCAGAAGTAATGGGGGTTGACCCAAAGATGCATGAGGGGAAAGCTTGTCTGTAGGAAGAGGGGAAAAGACCCTAACTAGAGGGAGATGCAGACGAGGGAAACAGGAAGGCAGCAGCGAGAGGCCACCCACAGGCTGGACTGGTCAGCCTTTGTCACTGTGCCCAAAACACCTGACACAATTATAGCAGGATGGGTTTATGCTGGCTCACGGTTTCAGTCGATTCAGTCTATCAAGGTGTGTGTGTGTGGGGGGGGTGGAATAGAACAGCTCACACCAGGACACAGAGAAAAGGGAGCCTAGCAGGAAGTTGGCCAGGGCAGGATAGAGCCCTAAGGACACCCGCCCCCCCTTCCTCCAACCAGGCCTGCCCTCCTGCTTTTTACCACCTTGCCTCAAATACCGTCACACTGTGGATCCATCAGGGAATAAGTTACCCCATGAGCTCAGATTTCTCACCATCTATTCCTCCTTGGAAACACCCTCACAGACACACCTAGGGCTGTGGTCTATTGGCCTCCTAAGCGTTTCTTATTCCAATCAACCATTACAGACTAACCAGACAGTAAACCTGCTCTACCCCATCCTATCACACGAGCAGAACAAAGACAGAGCCTCTTCCTTTTTGCTTGAGCTAATTTACAAGTTACAGTCACCCACAGACAAAAGAGTTCTGCAAAGCAGAGCCACCTTCTAGAAAGTCCCACTCTGAGCCTCAGAGAGAGAGAGTGCCACGCCCACTCCTCGCCTGAGCACCCAGTTTTTTCCGGGGTCTTTTGGTCAGGGTGACGTCAGATGCTCCTTCAGGGGTGATGATGCCTCGGCTCCAGAGGTCCTCGTGGTGAGGGAGGCTCTCAAACTCCGTTTTGCAGTTCCAGTGAGTGGGATGCTGAAAATAGGTCTCCACCCCACGGCATTCACAGCACGATTCACATGCTCACAAGCCCTGAGAGAACCATGCTCACGTCCCCCTTCCCAATGTGGTCACATTGAAGAAACCTCCTTTTTTGCCACATTTTTACTATTAACTTGTCTTTTTAATTGGCTTATTGAAGATAGCGGGCTGGGGCCGAGAGGGCGAAGGCTCTGGCCAGGGTAAATCCAGAAACAGTACCACCAACAGACAGGGACAAAGCAGGCGGGCCTGCTCCTGGCTCTACCCTCCAGGACGGTGGGAAGGGGGACAGAAGTGGAGGATGGGGAAGGGTGAGCGGCTGGTGCTAATCCCAGCTTCCTGTTGGGATTGTCCTAGACCGCTGCTGGGGCCTATCTTCGGGTGTCACAGCTGTGGAAATAGATCTCCGCTCTCACCTGTTTTTACGCAATAGACACTTCGCTAACTTCCTGTCAGAAGAATGATGCTTTGGAAACGGAGGACAGTGTTGGGGACCCCAGTACTGAACTGCCCACCTCCGAGGGGGCCAGTGAGCTGAGCCGCTCAGCTTGGCCAGGAACCGAGCAACTCTACAGGGAGAGGTGAAAAAGCCCAGGCACTCTGTGCCAGAGCCCCAGCCCGTTCTGTGAATTCGCTCAGGGTCCGCGCTCAGGGTCCGCGTGCTCCCCTCCGGGAAGCCACAGGGTCCTTAGGCCCGCCCCTCGCCTAAGAGTGATTGATAGATCCATCCTCTGCCTTCCTTAAGCCTCACGCATTCATGTCAGGTCCTATACATCTTCCTATTCTTGTGGGACCAGGAAACCAAGTTACCCCAGCTTCTCACTCAACGAACGCAGGGGTCTGAAGGTAGACCTCCAGAAGAGTGAGACCCCACAGTCGGGAAGAAGAGGCGGCCAGGGCGGAGACTGGGGCTGTGTCGCAGCCCTAGGCGTCCTGGGCTGGGCGGGTCCTGTGTACCCGTGGGAGGAGCCCTGCCCAGCGTCTCCAGAGCTGCCAAGGTAACTGACCTGCTAGGCCATGGCGTCCCTCGGGAGTGGGAGCTGGAGTGGCGCCCCGCCGCAGAGCGCAGCCCCTACGGTGAGGCCTGAGCTCAGGAGCGCACCGTGCTGAATGGGAGGTGGGGTGTGGGTGTGGGCTGCGGAAGCCTGGCTGGGGGTCAGCTCTGGGGCACAGTGAGAAGGGAGGTCCCGACCGAGGGGAAGACTGGACTGGGAGAAGGGAGGCCACGAGGGGCGGAGACACTGGGAGGGAAGTGCGCGGGCTCCTGACATCCCCTCTTTGGCCTGCTCTGACTGACGGATGCTCCCCTCCCCCCCCCCACGTCCCCAGCCCTGGGTGACCATCTTGCAGCCCTTTTCTTGGACGGTCCCATCTCCCGTGCCTCAGCCTAACAGAGTCAAGGAAGGTAACGCTCCTGGGTCGCTCTCCTGAACCCCCTCTACTACGCGTCCTGGGGCCTCCCTCTTTCCTCTGGTTGGTTGAAGTGGGGTCTGGGCCTGGGAGGGACGGAACTATGTGGAGGCCGGGTGGGCCTGTTGAAACCTTCCCCCCAGACCTGCTGGAGCTGATGCTGCTGCAGAACGCACAGATGCACCAGCTGCTGCTGAGTCAGCTGGTGGCCGGGGCGCTGAACCCAGAGCCAGAGTGGCCCAGCCCACAGGTGTGTGAAAGCGGCCCGGGGTGGCGCTGCATCTCGGGGTCCTCCACCTGGAGAAAAGGGCGGAGCATATAGTAGCAGGAAGCTAGCTCTCACCCCTGTCTGGCAACTACTGTGAGCCAAGGTCTTCTAACAGGAAGGGAGTTCCCAAGTCTCCGTTCCCACCCAGATCTTTTTTTTTCAAGGTTTTCCACCCAGTCATTTCTTTGTGTGCTTCAGGTCCCGGGCAGGAAGCATCACTGGGGCTGGTGCAGGGCTCTTTCTTCTTCTTCTTCTTCTTCTTCTTCTTCTTCTTCTTCTTCTTCTT